TATATATATATATATATATATATATATATATATATATATATATATATATATATATATATATATATATATATATGTATATATATATATATATATATATATATATATATATATATATATATATATATATATATATATATATATATATATATATATATATATATATATATATATATATATATATATATATATATATATATATATATATATATATATATATATATATATATATATATATATATATATATATATATATATATATATATATATATATATATATATATATATATATATATATATATATATATATATATATATATATATATATATATATTTTTTTTTTTTTTTTTTTTTTTTTTTTTTTTTGCATCACAAGTAGCTTTTCAGCTCTGTAGCTGATTGTGACAAAACTCTTCCTTCTGTTCAGAACTACCAAATAATTGGCCATCATCTGAACAAAATGTCCCACTGGAAATTAGCAGTGACTTCAAACATAAAGGGCTCCAGTCAGAAGATAAAAGATGTTAAACTTCATGCACCGTCTTATGTCTCAGATTCATTAAACATTCCACTGTCGAGCTCGCTCAGATAAAGCATTAGCCTGGCGTGCTCCTCGAAGAGCCACGCAACCATGGTGATCGAATCCAGCTCCAGCCTGAGATAAGAGATCCTCTGCACAGGGCAAAGTTTGCTCTTTTCTCGGTTGACCTGAAACCCTAACTGGTCGAGGTGCCAAAGCACATTGTTTCTGTGCATATTCAACTGATCTCTGGAGGAGGCTAAAATCAGCCAATCAGATGATTGAGTATGTGGATGCCCGCAAGCCGAAGTGGCTCTAGGGCACCCTCAACAAGTTTGGTGAAAACCCATGTCGACAGAAAGAGCCCGAAGGGGAGGACTTTGTAATGCCACCCTTGTCCTTCAAACGGGAACCGAAGAAATGGGCAGTGGTGTGGAAGGATGGAGACATGAAGTACATGTCCTTCAGGTCTATAGCTGCAAACCAATCCCAAGGACGGACGCTCTGAAGTAAGCATCCTGAACGGCATCTTGTGTAAATGACAGTTCAGTCTGCGCAGATCTAGGATTAGTCTTAACCCCCCGCTCTTTTGGGGCACGATGAACTACGGGCTGTAAAACCCGGATTTCATCTTGGCTAGAGAGAACTGGAGGCACCTGGTGCAATCTCCTCTCGCAAGACAGGGGCGCTCTCGGGATTGAAAGGCGAATGGCGAACTGTATAGTGTAGCCAAGTCTGACTGTCCGTATGAGCCACTGCGACATGCTGTGCATCGCTGACCAGGCTGGCAGATCACCAGGGATCATTGGAGCGATTGCTGACGTGCCAACGGAGGGGCAGCTTGGGAAGAAAGTGCTCACCCCTGGAAGCGTTGCGTCCTGAGGAAGAGCTGAAAGTAAGAGAATGTCTCTTACCTTCCTCCCTGGATCCCACAGTGAGGCCAGAGCGAGAGAAAGGAGTCCATACTGCTCCACTCTGAGGGCCTGAGGCGAAGGGGCCCGGCACTATGAGGTAGAAGGCGGAGCGTCCCAGACTGGCAGTGCTCGGGTTTGTACATCCGGGGAAAAAGGAAACTGCTCTTTATATAGAAAATTTGGTTGCTGCCAGCCCAAAGGCCAGCTGCTGTATTTTTATAGTCGAAGACATTGACTGAAATGGTCCTCTGCCCCCCCACCGAGGAAAGAGCAGGTCCACTCATCTCCGAGTGGCCTGTCTCAGGGATGCTTCGTGGTCCATTTACCAGACTTAACAGTTCCCTAGGGCGGGGGCAGTGGAGTGGGCAGTGGAAGGGGAGCAGGTGTTGAAGCCGCGGGTGGATGCCCTCTGCAAGGAGCAGCCGAGGTTGATGGGGCAGTAGGAGTAGCAGTTTTCTAAGCCCGCTGGTAGAAGACTTCTCCCATTGCCTTGGACTGCTCTTTCACTGCTAAGAATTCCTGGGTAAACTCCCCAACGGTATTGCCGAACAGACCAGCCTGGGATATGGGAGCATTAAGAAAGCGAGCTTTGTCAACGTCTCTCAAATCAGCCAGGTTCAGGTGGCAGTCCTGGACCATCATCTTCCCCAGTGCAGGAGCAGCCGATTTGGTTTATTTGTGGCCCAGATCTGACAATCAGGAGCGGACTGCCCTAGAGACATCATTTCATTGAGTATGTGGTCCAGATGTAAGTGTCTGGTGTGGGCCAGATCTGAGCCAGAATAAAAGCGAACTGTGGCCCAGAATAGGGTCAGTTCTGGTTCATTTGGTTAAATTCTTGCTGACATGTGATATTGCTTTGGCTTAATTGTGGCCCAGATCTAGCAAACAGGAGCGGACCGCCCAAGTGCCATCATTCTATGCGGTATATGGGCCGGATGTAAGCTTCTGGTGTGGGCCGGATTTGAGCTACATGAATTTTGCTAGCTGGGCCAAGGACAAACTGCCCTTCCACAATACACTCTAGAGTTAGGAGGACAGAGCAATGAAAGCAGAGAACATCTTGAAGTACTGGATTCAATTACCTGGCCATTGCAAGATCACTAATGAAGTTACTCTACAGACTGAAACTGAATGCTACTCAGCAGACAAAAACAACAAACTCCACCCTTTTACTTCAAACAAGGGTGGATGGCAAACTTTAGTTGGGTGTGCTGAAACACTTCTCATTTATGTTGTACTGTGGTTGGCAGGTATGATAAACCTCACAAGAATTAAAGTGACTCATAAACAAAAGGAAGACATCTGTGCAAATATTTAAGACTTACTGATGACCCATTACAAGTTTTTACAGTCACTATATTTGTCTCAACACAAGAGCACAATGGAAGACTACGTGGGCTAAAGTGTGTGTTTTCATTGCTTTCACACAAAATGCACAGAAAACATCATTCAGATGACAAACTCTTTTGTGACAACAAAACTCCACTGCACATCCTTACACACATTTTGCTTTAAAAACTGTAAACTGAATGGAATAGAAGGTCATTTCCACTTTCCACGACAGAAAGAAAATTGAAAAGACCTGAATTTTTTAGATAAAAAGTGACTATTGCAAGTTATAAAGCAAAAAAAAAAAAAAAAAAAAAAACTCAACAACAATACAAAAAAAAAACTATCTGAGTAAAACAATCTGAGATAAAAAGTCAGAATTCTGAGATAAAAAGTGAAAAATTTGAGTTATAAAGTCAGATTTGCACAATTTTGACACAATTTTAATTGTTAGCTCTATTTTCTTTTACTCATTCCCGTGATTTTTATCATACCTGACAAGAACATCATGCTTTTACACACCCAACTGTGCTTTGTAGATTTTTATTAGTGTTTTGACATAGCTGCAGAACTAGAAATACTTCATTAGTACTTGTATAATGGTTAATTAGATAGCTCAAACATGTTATGTTGCTTTGGATGTGTTGATTTGATGCATTACTATTTTAGGTTTGTTTTGCGGCCAGCATAACCATTAATTTAGTTACTACACTGTAAAAAAAAAAAAAAGTTTCAACTTCGACGTGGTCTAAGTTTAATTAACTTTAATGATGTTGATAGGACTTTATATTTCTTACTAAGCTACTTTATAATGGACGCGGTTTACGTTTAGTGAACTTATATATATATTGAATTATTGAACTTAAGTTATGTTAAGGTTGAAAGGACTTGATAATACAAGGAAACACCCATGTACTATTTTTATATATGTATATATGTACTTTATTCAGTTTACTTATAGCACATGTATTTGGTCCGTGGGGGAAACTGGAGCACCTGGAGGAACCTAGACATAGCTAGCAACCCCCAACCCCCCCCCCCCAATTGGACTACACATTCGAAAATTTCTAAACTGATCCCAAAGCCACCCAAATTTTTTCAACATGTTTAAGCGATTTTTACCAGCAACAACGAATTATAAACAAAAATTCTAAATAAAAAAACATCCATCGTCTGTCGTCATTCAAAAGTAAACAAATGTAAATTTAAATTAAAGTGTAACAATATACATATAATACAACACAATATTTAAAAATTGGGCAAACAAGATGTGCTTTAACTGCAGACTGTCAGCTTTAATTTGAGGGTATTTACAACCAAATCAGGTGGACAATGTAGGAAGTACAACAGTTTGCATATGTGCCTCCCACTTGTTGAGGGTCCAAAAGTAATTGGACAAAATAATAATTATAAATCAATCAATCAATTGAAGTACATCGTGTTAATTTCATTTAAAATACATTGTGTTGGTGTATAGAGCCAAAATTATCTGAGTCTGAACAATCTTTTATTTTGAAAAATCTTTTATTTAAAAAAAATGAATATTGTTCCCTGATTAAGGTCTTTTTGAAGATGAATATAGTGAATAATTTAAAAGCATAACTAAATTGTATTTGTTTACAAACTGTTGTAATTTTTCAACTGAATTCCACGTGTGTTCAAAAAAAAAAGTTGAGAGAGGATTTTCTTAAAAAAAAAAAAAAAAAAAAAAATATATATATATATATATATATATATATATATATATATATATATATATATATATATATATATATATATATATATATATATATATATATATATATATATATATATATACATATATATATATATATATATAGAAATACACATGTGTAGCCAAAACAAAAACTTCATGTCACAAAACAGAATAAATGGTCTCCATGGAGCTCGGGTAGCAAGATTATAGGGTGACAGCTCCAACATATTTTCCATTGTTTTTGTCTTTTTTATTGTTCAACAGCCAAGAACAAAGAACACACTTTACACTACACATACATATGATACAAGTTACATATTCAGCCACCTGTCACACCAA